AAAAAGCAGCAACAACAATCATGAAAAAGAAAGATTAATTAGGTGTTGAATTTGTTTGTCCAAGGCATGAAATTTCTACTAAAAGTATTGTCAACAAAGTCTCTTTGACAGCGTTTGAGGCAACTGAGCTTGACTGTTCCAAGGTTTTCTAACAAAGGCAACCAGTAATGTAGGTTAGGGAAGTAAGATAACAATGTAATTATTGTTAACATAATGGCATTGTGGAAGTTGGCAATTTCCATTTAACATAACTGACAGCTGGTTCATGAGAAAATCCATATTAATGTAAAGATTTGCTAAAACTTAGTTTGAGTAATAAATTTCGTGATCTTTAAGTTATAAACATGTACATGTATGTATATCTCTTGGTAAGTTTTGTATAGCATACCTTTTATTGAGCCAAAGTTTTAAGCCTCTGAAATTACTCTTTTTCTTAAAACCTTCACATTCAAGGTATTGATAATTTCTTAGAATTTATGTGGACCTCAGGGTATTAAAATTGCCTCAAATTCAATTCCCAGAAATTCCTAAGAGTCCCACACTTCTTAAATTATAGGTAGTTTGTAAAGCTGAGAATTCCTAGGAATTCCTAGGGATTCCAAGTCCTCACAAAACTGGAGTCTTCCTTTCCCAGAAATTCCCAGTAATTCCAAGCTTTTTAAATCAGAGTTAATTTGCATAGCTGGGAATTTTTGAGAATTCCTAGGAATTCCTAGGAATTCCTAGGAATTCTCAGAAATTCCCAGAAAACTGGGAATTCAGTTTGCAAGGGTCATTTGCATAATTGGGAATTTTTGAGAAATCCTAGGAATTCCTAGGAATTCCTGGGAATTCCCAGAAAACTGGGAATTCAGTTCGCAAGGGTATCTTTACATGTAACTGCCAATAAAATAACCCTCCATCTTCATAAAGATCTAAGTAAGCTTTTAAGGCCTTCCTGACATTTTTTTAAAGCATGGCCTCACAAACTTTTTCTTTTAGCTCCACTGATAAAAACATTTAGGGAAAGTCAAATAACCAACAAGCACAACTAGTACTTAAATACTAAGTTAGCAATTGACAGCAATTAGCACCACAATAAAAAATGCAAGAACCCTCAACTGGCTGAAACTTGTATTATTCAGTTGCATACTATTCTTCCCACATTTCCTTATAAATTAACCTATATTTAGTGGATACCTTTATAACACAGACACTAGGGAAGGTTCTCAGAGAGGTTACCTTTGATACTTTTATAACTATAAAAGTAATAGCTCTCGCTGCAGTTTAAAGTGATTTAATTTTCGAAATACAGTTAACTTCTTCACTTAACACACAACAGCTGTGCAAAGCATATCAATTGTAAATAACAAATGTGGAGAGTTACAAATTACTTTCAGTACTTTATAGTGCAAGTAACATGTTCCTTACCATCATTTTTCTGTGTTTTATTTCCATTTACAGACTCAAGTGGCTGTAACGAAAAAACAAATTCAAACAATTTTACCTCACTTCCTAAAACAAGAAATCACAAGACTAAACAACAAGTGTAGAAACTTAGACATACTTAGGCTAGAACCCTAATTCAAAAATAAAAAAACTACCCCCCTGCAAAAAAAAAATTTACCACTGTCTTTGGTACCATCCTGTTCCTCCCCTATTTCCTTTTTTTTTTTTTTTTTTTTTTCTATTGACTTTCAAACACATATACCATGCTTCTTCTTGATGGGAAGAGGTTCCATAAAAACCCAAATAACCAGAAAGAGTAATGGCAAGATAGATAACCAAATCAGTAGTGGTATCAAAGTAAAGCTTGTAGCAATTCTCCGGCCTGACTATTACACCCTATTATTTTTCCCCAGGTCTATGTGAACTAGATTTTGAACACAGAATGCAATACCTCACCAAATATCTACTAGGATGCCTCACTTAAAAGTGTGCATGATTATCATCTCTTGCTGAGATAGCACACTACAATTCAATGTTTTTATTACTACACATATAGGGGTTTTGGTAAGATTGTGGAAAGGAGGGACAACATTTGAGCTGCTGGGAGGGACAAAAATGACAGTGTGGCAGCCATTTATTCCCACTTGGATAGCAAAGTCTGAGGAACCTTTCCCTGGAAATTTAAAAGTTTGGATGTCCAAAAGGGTCCATTTCAGGCCACTATTTCTCAAGTTGGCTAAAAATTACATCTGCTACTAGGGAGAGTGAGGGAGAGTGTTGACACTCGGATTTAATGAATAGAGTAGCTTAATTTTACATAACGAACTATTTAAACATTATATATACATAGTAATGTTGTCTCATAGATGATGTCTGTGTGGTCTTGTTTGATTTTTACCTTTGCCTTGCTCAAAAATATGAAATTGTGCCCTGGACAACATTAAATTTTGGGGTACAGTGCTGTGATTTCTGACACAGTATATTTAAAGCAATTACTGGTGGCAGAGGAATTAATTGGTACTTCAATGATGAATGTAGAGCATAGCAATCAATGTAAACCATCATACCAAAAAACATGGTGACTAGTACATTCACCTAGAACTCTTTGCACAAGAAAATCCTGGAACCACTCAAAAAGTCAAGCGGAAAAAATCTGAAAATTTTAAAATTTGCATACATAATGTTGTTGTTTTGTGAAATATTGCTTTCTACATGTGTCTTACCCTAAGAATAAAGGTAAAATGTACAGGCACCATCTTTGTCTGTAAGTGGATTGAATCTATTGGGTAAACACCAGAAAAAATAATATTGATACAAATAGGCTGAGGTTTTAGTATAGGTCTGCTGTGGTTTAGTTTTACCCTTAGTTTATTCTTTTACTTTTAAAAAAGGCCAAATTGATAGTGACATATCATCTCACCATAACTTAGGCTTGGAGCTAAATTTTATCTTTCTTTACACAAAATGCATTTTTCATTCATATCATTAACAAAACCAAAGGAAACTGATTTTTACATCAAGGACAAAAATTAAGCACAACAGATACCTTTCATCGGCACTTTTGTTTACTTTGCTTTGCTGCTGGTTCTCATTCATGCCTGTATGAATGATGTTAAGTAAGGGTGAAAGGATTGGTATTTTCTTCACAAAGATAGTTGCAGAGAGTGTCTCCATTGATATATGGATTACCAAACACTCACAATGAACGCCAACAAGACCAAGTTCTTGCTAACAAGTGTAGGAGCAATAATCGCTAATAATGGGCAATAGTCTGTATTTAATAGAGTATTCATTTGTGCATGAATTAGTATTTATTTCATTTTAATGTTTGTAACACACAATTGAAAAAGTATGTAAAATGTGGTAACAAAAAACGATTATCCTCTGGTAGTTAATGCGTATACAGGGTGCTGTAGAAATCCTACAAGATAAGCCAATCAAATATCTCGATTCATGAAAGTTACTTTTGGTATCTTTTTCCTTTGGTTATCAATTACATGCATCTCGCCTTCGGTGAAACTGGTCATGGCCAAGAACAAAATATTCAAGGGGCGAAGCCCAAATGTGGAGCGGTATTTAAATAGTTGTGGCCGCGAAGTAGATATCTCGGGGCTAATTGCGCCAAATCTTGCTGCTGGAGCGAGACTCGCAGCCAAAAATGAGAGTCAGGCTCTGGACGAGAAGACTTCCAGAACATACGAGCTACGGCTCATCGCACTGGAGCAGTTCGCGGCACAGAACGGAGATGATGCCATTCTTTTCGGCCCAAACAAAAGGCCCTTTTTAGCGGCCACATTGCAAACCTTCATGCGTAAGTATTACTTTTCAGCACCGATCTAGTAATTACAGTAATCGCAAGTTTCGAGTTCTCCAATGCACATTTGGTTATGTCGGCGTTCTTTAAAGAACTATTTGATCAACGCTGTTTAGTTCGTACGCAGTGTATTCCTTAGATATTTCGTTGATTATGACAAAATTAGCTGAAATAATCACGCTGTTATTGGTTTTTATTTGTGAGGGATCATGAGGCCGACGAATTCTAAGTGAAGTGAAGAGAAGAAGTGAAATTCTAAGTTTTCAACTTTAAATGCAATTGTAGTTTAAGATAAAAGTAGGTGTATTTACACTATTTTAACTGACTTCCGTTTATAGAGCAATGTCGAACAATTTCGTTCTCATAAGTGATTATTTACACACATTAACATTACGCAGTTTGCAATAACGCAAATCCTGGTAAAAGAACAGTAAGAAACGCGATTGAAAAATGTGTTACATCTAATAGAGCCATAAATTGCGTTAACGCAATATATATATGGTATAAAAAGTATGGACTATAGCCTTTACTTTTTATACCACATATTGCGTTAACGCAATATATGGTATAAAAAGTAAAGGCTATGGTCCATACTTTTGAAAAGGTCATAGACAGGCCTACACAGACTCCCCTGTGTGGTTTTACGTTTGCGACGCAAAAGCCTTTAATTAAAGCTTCGCTCTGACGAGTATGTCTTTGAGCGATTTACCTCTTTTGTATGATATAATCGGAGGCGTTTTGTAAATTGTTTTCAGCAGTGGCTGATTTTGGATGAGGTTCCATTCTTGCATCAGTATTTGTTTTGAATTTTTAACCCCTGAGTGGTATGCTGTCACAAAAGGCAATATTTTGCCTGTAGTTTTTTTGGTTTGTTTTTAGTGTCGACTGCCTTGCGGCAAACGAGACCTCAGATAACGTTTTTCAATTAGGCTTTTTGGGTAACCACGTGCTTCAAGTCGTGTTTTGAAGTTTACATGGCCTCCTGGAAATTTCTTTCCGAGGAGTTTGTTCTTAGAAGTCTGATAGCTCCTCCTTTAATAAAGCCTTTCTTAACACCTGGCGGGTGGCAAGATGAATAGTGTGTATATTGAAAGGTCTCGGTCGGTTTGTAGTGAGTTTTGACGTCGAGGATAGCTTCGTTTTGGAATCTTTCACCTTTGTAGACAACCGTGTCTAAGAATGTGATTTCAGTCTCCGAGATTTCAGCCATGAACTTTATAGTTGGATGGAACGTGTTAGCTTGTTCTATGAATTGATCAATGTCTTGTTTACGAACATCCCACAGGGAGAAAACGTCGTCAATGTAACGCTTCCATACTCTCGGCTTGATACTGCTTTGGTGAAGCAGTTTTGTTTCAATTTCTGCCATAAAGAGATTGGCGAAAGCAACCGCCATTCGTGTTCCCATGGCAGTTCCAAAACATTGGAGATAGTTTACTCCGTTGAACTGGAACGAATTTTCTTTCAGTATAAGCCCGAGCATTTGTTTTAAGTAGTGGGACGGAATGGGAGGGCTGTTATTGTGGTATTTTTCGTATGCTTGGCAAACTATTGTGATTCCCTCTTCTTGTGGGATGTTTGTGTACAAGCTTGTTACATCCATTGATACTAAAATAGTATCATTTGACACTTGCGTTTTCTCTATAAAGTTGATGGAATCAGTCGTATCTTTGAGATACGATTTTTGCTTTTGAGCAATAGGCTGTAATAAATGATCCACAAAGGATGATATCCTTTCAGTTGGTCCTTCGCAGCCCGATATAATCGGTCTACCCACTGGCAAAGGTTTGTGGATTTTTGTTAAAGTGTAGAAAATCGGTATTCTGGGCGGATTGGGAGTCTGTGAAAGCCACTTTTTTGTCATATCGTCTATATGTTTGCCATTGTGCAGTTGAGCAATAAGCTCATTAACTTTTTTTTAATGTGTCAGTGACCATGGGGTTTTCAAGAGGTCGGTAGTGGTCTCTGTTGTCGAGCTGAACCTGGGCCTCTTGAATTTTGTCCCTCTTGTTGAGAATCACTGTTGTGGTGCCTTTGTCAGCACGTTTAAGGTTGATGGCAGTATTGTTTTGCAGTTCTTTGACTGCTTTGTGTTCGTTGTATGACAGGTTGTGTTTTGGCTTTGTTATTTCTATTTCAGCAAGGCTTAACTTGATATTTTCGAAGTAGCGTTAAAGGGCAATAGAAGGTTGTACTGGTGGTATCCAGTTTGATTTGACATGGAAAGGATGTGGTTCCTTGTCATTCCCGTGGAATATATATCTAAGTCTCATTCGCCTAGCGAATTGTTCGAAGTCACGCAACAATTGTTACCTGATCTTATTTTCATTTGTCACGGGTGTTTCAATAAATTTAAGCCCTTTTGCTAACACGCTGACTTGGTGATCAGTTAATGTATTGTCTGAAAGGTTTTTAAGGTATTTTTCATTTTTCTCCCTTTCTGTAGTCACTCGCTTGTGTAGTGTATTTTTTCTACGCTTTTTGCGTTTATTATTCTTGGATAGCCTTTTTGCTGCAGTGGGTTTGGCGACTGATTTTTCAGAGATGACACTGTTGTACTTTTCAACATGTTTATTATCACTCTGAAAGCGTGTACATATAAGATGAGGCCTAGCTGCCTCAAAGACATACTCGTCAGAGCGAAGCTTTAATTAAAGGCTTTTGCGTCGCAAACGTAAAACCACACAGGGGAGTCTGTGTAGGCCTGTCTATGACCTTTCCAATCTCCGATATCGTGTTGTAGCACTTTACATATGCATAAAATGCGTGTAAAGTCCGTGTATGTATGCCCTCATATTGTTGATACTTAACATGTAATCTTACTCGAGAGACATCAGTTATACAAAAGATTCACGAAAACTTGAAGCGTCGTCACAGTTATCTTACCGGCAAAACAAAAAAGTTTCTGTAGCGTTGATACAGATAAAAGTGGCGATTGTGATTAATTTCACACTTCACAGTCGAAAATCGTACGAAACGCAAGTATCATCAGGGCTCCTATTAAATTCCAGCTGAAAGTTATTGGGAAAAAGAACGATAAATTTCGAAGATGATAAGTTTCGAACGATAAGTTTCGGAGATGGTGACAAGGAGAGCGACTATATCGAGCGAAAACAGCGACTGGAATAGTCGAATACGATTAAGTTCAAGCTTTCAGTAGGTATGCTTAGCTTAAACATTGAAACATTGAAATGCCGAAGATAACATAAATATCAAATGAATACATACCCTGGGATTATCACTAACAGAAGAACTCGAAGAAACCTCCGCCATTTCCGACTTCTGCCGATAAATCCGCCGACGGAATCAGCAGTTCAATTTCGCGCGGCCCGCGCATTAAATCAGCTTAGCAGCCATGCCTCTTTGCTTGTAGGAAAGTGACGTCACTGTAGAAATTCTACCAACTACCAGCACCATATATGGCGCCCGAAAAAAATAAGTAATTCTGTTACGCTTCTCGCGGTACGTCCGATAATACCGATAAAAATTATTGAGGCTGGAAGAAAATCACAAGTTTTTGATCATTGAAACACCGAGATCTGTCCTGGTTTTTAATCGTGTAATATCTGGTGTTGCATGTCTCAAACAAAATAAAAACGTCAGTCCTCGACACAGACGGATTCAATGAATCCAGGTATCATGCAGCTACATGAAATCTACTGGCATTTAGCACAAAACTTGAACGCGATCTTTGAAGAATGGTTGTAATATTTAAAATTTTAAAAAATACTAGCATGAAGTGCAACGAAAACCTTACCTTATTGTACTAGCTTCGACAGAAAAGTAAGGAAAGCCATGAGGCAATGTCAAATTCTCGTCTTCCTAGGCTTTCCAACGTATGGAAGAAAATTTCCCAAATACCTCGCACTTAAAAGCGCTATCAGAATCTTACTCTTTCACCAATCCGAAGCGTCTCAAAAGGTGTCAAGGATAGCCCATGAAATTCTCAAACTTCAAGCGCGGAAATCTTAACGATCTTTTTACACTATTGCTTTGCATCCCTCCCTTAGTTGGGAAGTGACACGCAGAAGACACGATCACAACGCACTTTGATTGGAAGAAGTAAAACCGCATTCTATTGGTTACAATGTGCGAGGACATAACTACAACGGAAGACACAACTGCAACGCTACATCTAATCCACTCGTGTCACTGAAGGCCTCATATTTTTCCACGGACGAAGAAAAGCTCGTGCCCAAGCACTTATGATGTTGGCCTCTTCGCAAGCTTAGAGATAAAGGTCACAAATTGTGACGTGAAAAATTAATTCGTTTCAGCAAATTCGAAACAAAAGTCAACCTCTTACCGCTACTGATTTCAGTTGATTCGACTTTGCCTTTTTATCGTATTTCTTCGCGAGGAAACGTTTTTCGTGGAGTTCAATTTAACACATGGGAAATGGTCATAAGCCCACAACCACCCAACTAACTGTCCTGTCCCCTTCTAAAAAGGGCATGACATGACAGAATTAATTTAGTTTCAAAGCACAGAGATTTTAAGGCCAGTTGAAAAATGGGGTTCATAGCGTCACCTTTACTGGAAAATGAATGATAATCGCGAGCAAACTGTAAGATTAAGATAGTAACCGTAAGCAGGGGAGAAGGGGAGTCAGGCCAGGAAGTAAAGATACTGCTTGGCAAGGAATGTACTAAGCACGAACAAGAGCCCATTACTTGGCATGAATCATTAATAAACCCCACCATTATTCAAACCTGGGTATTAGACAGAGAGGAACTAGTAAAAATTACAAAAACGGAAAATCCGGTTGTTTATACTCGAGTACTGATAATGAAGAAAACATTCGTGCCAATCAATCTCAGTAACTTTATTATACCGCCATGATCATTAAAGGTAACAATGGAATTCTATTCTGCAATAAACTCATCCTCAAGAGAATATCATTTAACAAAACTATCTCACTAAACACACGAATCAGTTTATTTTACTTTGACTTCAAAATCAAAAGCAATTATCCAGACATTTGATTGGCAGATAAAGCATTACAAGTTGACCTCTATGGGGAGTGTGTAGCTAAAACAGCTTCAAAGTGCACAAAACAGCCAACATCACCGTCATCATAGAGTCAATGAAGACGGACAAGCCACCATTACAGGGTGTGTCACCATCACTAACACAGCAAGTGATGGTGCACTCTTTTAATCCCAATGCCTTTAACTGGGCTTTATCCTCGCATTTTTTCTTCCTCTCTTCGCAGACGCTTTTGACATAGCAAGCTCTCGTCTCATACTCTTTATCATCATCGCTCACGCTATGCATTCTGGCACATGCATACTCGGTGGGATCTACCGGATCTCTGTCGATGCAGTCCATAATTGTCTGATCTTTCAAGCACTGTTCCGTGGTATATTCTTTGACACCATCTGTTTCAGGTATACATTGGTAGCATTTGAAACTGGAGCCTGAGAAAGTAACAGAAGAATCATTGATAAGATATACTTGATCTCATCGGAGCTGTTGTTGGTTTAGCACGTCATGTAATGCGTTATCTCTTCAAGGAGGAAAAGGTGTTGCGTGACAAGACAGTCAAATGTATTCTGATAGTATCAACCACGCGTATCTGTCGTTAAGAGAGTGTTGACACGAAGGTGAGGAAAGTCTCGTCATTCTCAGCACGATAGTTCAGCATCAATAATGCGAAATTTAAAAAGGGAAAACTTTTTCATCATTAACGCTCTAAAAGTCTTAAAAAGTTCCTTTTGTGTTTGTCTTCGGCAATGGTTATAGTCTTGCCGAGGTAATGTAAGACGATTGTAGGATTTCTTTAACGAAGAGGAAAGATGAAATATTCGATTATCATACCAGCTCACGTTAAAACTGAATTACAGGGCAATGGACTCTACCAATGACAATTACAGTAAAATTATTCGAAACGTATTTATCCTAACCTGCCATAGCGCGTCAATTTGAGGGACAACATGGCGCGATGTTTTCCTGGAACTTCGCGACGAATAAATTTCGGGGAGCCATTTGTATTTCATTTTACCGACGTAGATAGGAAGGAAAATAAAATCAAGCCAAATCTACCCGTCCACCTGGATAAGGTAGATATCTGTGTCTTTTTTTTTTGGAGAACGACTCAAGATTTTCCGAGTAATTTGACCGAAAAATCCTTTCATATCCTTGAAAGAAAGATCGATAGCATTAAACTCTTTTCTTGGAAACATAGTCACTATAGAAATTGTCTTTCTCTCTGCGTATTTGTTTAAATAAGGGTAGTCAGGGAAGTAAAATTCGGTTGACCTAGACTACACAAAAAAGCAAGAATCCAATAAGACCACACTTATATTCTGTTACAAGCGATAACCTCAACTCTATAATTGTTGGGCCTTTTCCGCTGTACGTATCTTGGCTTGTTCAGACGAAGGATCGCTTTGATACAGCAATTAGTATAAGGATTACTGGGGGTTATTGTGTTTACATCCTTTCAAAGTAGGGCTTCATACTCAGTTTAAGCTCGCAAATGTCTTTAATGTGGCGTTGTTTACAGGCCTTTTCTCGAAATCGAGGAATGTTTTATCGAAGTAGCTCTATTGTGCATTAGGAAGATGACCAAGAGAGGTGAGACCCTTGAATTAACCAAGGGATTGACTCATGGAGACTCAAGGAGAAATGTAAGACGATAGTAAGATTTCTTTATCAAAGAGGAAAAAAAAACATTCGATTATCATACCAGCTCACGTTATAACTGAATTCCAAGACAATGGACTTTCCCAATGGCAATTGCTATGGCATTATTTGGAACGTATTTATCATAACCTGCCATAGCTCGTCAATTTGAGGGACAACACAACGCGATTTTTTCCTGGAACTTGGCGACGAATAAATTTCGGGGAGCTATTTATATTTCATTTTACCGACGTAGATAGCCTGAGGAAAATAACATCAAGCCAAATCTACCCGTCGACCTGAATAAGGTATCTATTTTTTTGGAGAACGACTCAAGATTTTCCGAGAAATTGAGTAATTTGACCTAAAAAACCTTTCATCTACGTGAGAGGAAGATCGATTGCATTAACTCTTTATTGTAGACTTAAAAAAAAATGACAAATGATGGTAACCTTTTTTCTTTGTCAACAGTATTAACACTAGTGATTAGTGCTATATCTCATTTGAAAGAGGACAAAATTAGCTTTTCAGAAAAAATATATTTTGCCTCCAAAAATCCATAGATTTTAAATCATGCTAAGAAAATGGCATACAATTTGCATAAATTATTGTAAAACTTTTGACTTTGAAACAGCCTGGGCCTGAATGGATTGGAGTTAAAAGGAAACATTTCTTAGATAAAATATTCCTTATCTTATGGGCAAGACATCCAGAGACTCTGGCTGAAAAAGAACAAATACGGAATTAATTAGAATTTTTTTCCAAACTGTACCCCAAAACCATAAAAATTGACCCAGATTATTGAAAAATTTATTCCTCACCAAGTATTTACACAAGGGAAGTGAGCTATAGCTCACTTGAAACAGCAGTAAATGAGATTTCCTGAAATGCATGTTTCCTCTCCAAGAAAAAGGAAAAAACCTCATTGAATGCTTTCAAACTAGCATTAATTAGCATAAAATATCATCAAAATTTAAACTGTGAATTAAGTGATACCCAAATAATACAAAGTAATGAGGCAAAAATTAACTAAAGAGGTTCCTTGTTATATGGGCAACATCTCCATAAAAAATTGGTTAGAAAATAACAAATCTGAGATGTGTTACACATATTTAGTGAACACTGATTGACACACTGACTAATTAGTCTGACCTCATCATCACCCCAAACCAAATTTACTAATCCCTCTTGAAGTCTACAGTGCAATCATTGGAACCATATTTCTTTGTTTGACTTCTGAAATTTTGCCTTGAAACGGACAAATGAGATAATCAACCTCAAAATACATAAAGCGCAATATATATCAAAAGCCTTTCACTTGCAATGCACCACCAGTATTTTGAAGAGTAAACAATTCAGAAGTGAAATGCCCAAATCTACTAATCCCTCTTGAAGTCTACAGTGCAAACATTGGAACTATAGTTCTTTGTTTGAAGATTGACATACAGACTAATTAGTCTGACCTGATCTCGTCATCACCTCAAGCCCAAATTTACTAATTCCTCTTGAAGTCTACAATGCAATCATTGGAACTATATTTCTTTGTTTGACTTCTGAAATTTTGCCTTGAAACAGGGACAAATAAGTTAATCAACCTCAAAATACATAAAGCACAACATATATCAAAAGCCTTTCACTTGCAATGCACCACCAGTATTTTCAAGAGTAAACAATTCAGAAGTGAATTGCCCAAATTTACTAATCCCTCTTGAAGTCTACAGTGCAAACATTGGAACTATAGTTCTTTGTTTGAAGATTGACATACAGACTAATTAGTCAGACCTTATCTCGTCATCACCCCAAGCCCAAATTTACTAATCCCTCTTGAAGTCTACAATGCAATCATTGGAACTATATTTCTTTGTTTGACTTCTGAAATTTTGCCTTGAAACAGGGACAAATGAGATAATCAACCTCAAAATACATAGAGCACAACATATATCAAAAGACTTTCACTTGCAATGCACCACCATTATTTTCAAGAGTAAACAATTCAGAAGTGAACTGCCCAAATTTACTAATCCCTCTTGAAGTCTACAGTGCAAACATTGGAACTATAGTTCTTTGTTTGAAGATTGACATACAGACTAATTAGTCAGACCTTATCTTGTCATCACCCCAAGCCTAAATTTACTAATCTCTCTTGAAGTCTACAGTGCAATCATTGGGACTATATTTCTTTGTTTGACTTCTGAAATTTTGCCTTGAAACAGGGACAAATGAGATAATCAAACTCAAAATACATAAAGCGCAACATATATCAAAAGCCTTGAGCATAATTTGTTTGTTTTGTGAATTTTCAGCATGTAACAAGTAGAACCACATCTAAAAAACATGCAAAACATAAGATAATGTACAGGTCGATATATATTCAACTACCGTTTAAAAATAAAAGATTTTATTTGACTTAGTTCGGACGCACACTGCGTCATTCGATCTGTCATCGGCTGATGATTTAGGTCGTTGCGTTCTAACATTCCATTAAAGATTATTATCTCTGTCGCTCAAAAATCATGTTTGATCACAATATATGTTGCTTTTCACTCACAAATATACATTTACAGGTTTGTCTTAAGGCAAAAAACAAGGATTCGTGCGCGAAAAGTAAAAGTAAATGTTTCAACACCACATGCGTCACGCATTTAAATATCGCAAGAATGTTTACAGATTACTTACCTCGATTCTTCGCTAGGATTTTCACCACTAGAGATACCACCATGCTCACTTCCATCGTCAAAAATCACCTCTAAAGCCTTAGCTACGCCGTATCTCTAGCGTTTCGCATCGGACGCCATTATCGAAGACTGAAATCGTACGCGAATAATTTTCGGATCGGGCTCCCGAGGGCACGTTTGATAGTTCGGAGCTAAAACTCGCCATGTGATTGGCTTAGAATGTTTACATGCTACACCGAGCATTTCCGAAAAGGTCAAAGTCATCATGCAATTTTGCACGATCGGCCCTAGGGCTTGACCACGAAGTAAACGCTTTTCTCGGAAACATAGGTTCTATAAAAATTGTCTTTCTCTCTGCGTATTTGTTCAAATACGGCTAGTATTTTGGAAATTAAAAGTCGGTTGACCTAGACTACACAAAAAAGCAAGAATCCAACAAGACCACACTTTTTTCTGTTACAAGCGATAACGTCAAATCTTTAATTGTTGGGCCTTTTCCGCGGTATGTGTTTTGGCTTGTTCAGACGAAGGATCGCTTTGACACAGCAATTAGTATGAGGATTCCTTACATCCTTTCAAAGTAGGGCGTCATACTCAGTGAAAGCTCGCAAATGCCTTTAATGTGTCGCTGTTTACGGGCCTTTTCTCGAAATCAAGGGATGCTTTTTCGAAGTAGCTCTATTGTGCACTATGAAGATAACGAAGAGAGGTAAGACCCTTGAATTAACCGAGGAATTGACTCATGGCTATATCAACTATATCATTTAAAAGCAATGTCGGAAAGTAAATTCAAGAAGGTCAATTCACCAACGAGAGTTGGTTAGGGAAGTGCACTAACGCAGCAATTGCTACACGAAAGTACATACATTTAAGTAATGATTTCCTTATAATACATGATCTGACTGCTCTTGTAATGAAGGGAGATGAATCTTTCTTACCCAAGCAAATGGCCGTGCAGAAAGTAAAAACAGCGAACTGAAATCTCACCATGGCTCTTTGCGACAACCTTGTCAACGAAGGCGTGTGCGTAATTTGGGTGGCTCTGGCGGGCGATTTTGTAACAACGTATCACTATCTGCTCGTTGGTTTTTCTTGAATTGATGCGCATGAATGACATTTCCTTTTTAGGTAAGTGCCATGACAACAATAGTCACGTGAGAGATGACTACACCATATCAAAAGAGGAACAATACAAAGACCAATTAACTGGTTCAGTGAAAGCAAAGTTTTACATGATATGCAATGTGAATTTAATGATTAAAATGGACTCTACCAGTGGCAATTACTATAAAATTATTCGAAACGTATTTATCATTACCTGCCATAGCTCGTCAATTTGAGGGACAACGCAGCGCGATGTTTTCCTAGAACTTCGTGACGAATAAATTCCAGGGAGCCATTCGTATTTCATGATAATGTCATAGGTAGCCGGGAAATAAAATCAGGCCAAATCCACCCGCCAACCTGAATAAGGTTGAAATTACTGTTTTATGAGAACGACCCAAGATTTTCCGAGAAATGGAGTAATTTGATCGCAAAAATCTTTCATGTACTTGAGAGAAAGATCGATCGCATCATACGCTTTTCCCGGAAACATAGGTTTTATAAAAATTGTTTTCCTCTCTACACATTTTTTCCTATTATAAGCGATAACCTTTAATCTATAATTGTTGGGCCTTTTCCGCAGTAAGCAACGGACAAAAAGAAATTAGAACTAGTAAATGATAGGGGACTTAGGGCGGTTTTTTTAACTGGAACCTCGCATACGAAGACTTACTGAAACGTGCCAATTTGTACTATCTATACAACATGCGACTGCAAGATATCGCCATTTTCATGTGCAAAGTCAAACACAGGCTGCTGCCTTCGAACATAGTAGATTTATTCAGGGGCATTCCATCTGGGTACAACCTCAGGAACTCAGATGTTCATATCTCCAGAATCTTTTCTGTCCATTATGGCAAACATTCTCTAGGATATCTCGGACCATATATGTGGTCAAAACTTGGACATAGCGACAGACAAATGCTAACTCTGACATCATTCTCCTCAAACATCCGCAGAAAAGACCTCACGAACCTAGTTTCATATTACGTCTGTACAGGGAATTGTCCGAGGTGTGTTTAGAATTTTAGACATATTTAGAGTTTGTATATAGTTGTATAGGTAGAAATTATTATATTTTAGTCCGTATTTTATAATATAAATGGAATTCTAGACATGTATATATATTTTAACTAGTGATAGCTAATTTCAACGTAACTTAACTTAACTTAATTTATCTGTAATTTTATTGGGAGTGTCCCCGATTAGTCGGCCTCCGGGCTGACTAGATGTTTTAGACACTTAAAAAAAGTTGATTGATTGATTGATTGATTGTACGTATCTTGGCTTGTTTAGACGAAGGATCGCTTTGACACAGCAATTAGTATAAGGATTCCTGGGGGTTTCTATGTTCACATCCTTTCAAAGTAGGGCTTCATCGTCAGTGAAAGCTCGCAAATGTCTATCATGTAGCGCTGTTTACGAGTCTTTTCTCGAAATCGAGGGATACTTTTTCAAAGTAGTTCTATCGTGGCTCAGGAACTTAAAGATAACGAAGGTAAGGCCCTTGACCAAGGGATTGATTCATGGTTATATTGACCATATTATTCAAAAGCAATGTCGGAAAACAAGTTTAAGTTGGTCAATTCACCAACGAGAGTTGGTTAGGGAAGTGTATTAACACAGCAATTGCTACACGAAAGTCCATACATTTAAGTAAATTTCCTTACAATACATTATCTGACTGCTCTAGTAAGGAAGAGAGGTTAGCCTTCACTTACCCAAGCAAATGGCCCAGCAGAAAGAAAAAACAGCAAACTGAAATTCCACCATGGCTCTTTGCGACAACCTTTCCTTGACAACGAAGGCGTGTGCGTAATTTGGGTGGCTCTGGCGGGCGACTATTTATGCCATTTTACCAATCTGCTCGTTGGTTTTTCTTGATGCGCAAGTGAGATGACAGAATGAGTGACATTTTCTCATAAGTAAGTGCCATAAGAACAATAGTCACGTGAGAGATGAGTACCCTGAATCGGTAAAAGGGTCAACACAAGGACTTATCAACTGGTTCGGTGAGAGCAAAGTTTTACATGATATGCAATGTGAATTTAATGATTAACACCAGTCAGATGCTTGACGAGTGATTTCAATAAAGTCAAACAGCCAACTAAAAATGTTTTTTTTTTAAATAGAATGACTGAGACATGAGAAATCAATGAACAGACACTTACCGCTACTGATTTTAATTTATCGACCTTTCCATTCTATCTTTTATTTGGCTTTGCGATGCTGTTCTTCAATCAAGGGTATCACGAAGAAATACTATTATCATTGGCCCTCACTTCCATTTCACTGTCCTGACTGCTTCTGAAACAGTGTCAAATGACAAAATTAATTTTGTTTCAAGGCAGAGAGAACTTAACACCAAAATGAGAAAAAGAGGTTTATAAGGTCGGTCCAACTTTAAAAAGGCATTTTTGAGGTCCATCATTTGTGAAATACTTTTGGCGATTACGATACTGTCTACAAAAGTGGATACATTCATCTAAAAGAGCGTTTAATAATAAAATATGAAACAGCAGAAAACCTCGGCACTCAGATCAAGTTGCCATACAAAACTACAAGCATCATCATTATCACCGACATCATCGAGTGACCAGAAGCAGCGAAGCCACTGTTACAGGGTATGTCTTTGTCACTGACACAACGAGCCACAGCGCACTCTTTGATCTTCATTATCTTCTTCATGTCATCATTTGTGGACAAGTTCTTCATATGATCGCACTCCATCTTCTGGAGGCATCCTCTAGTCTCCACTTCATTATTGTCTTCCATCTTGTCGTGCATCTTGCTACAGGTGTAATTGGTAGGACAGTCAACCTCGGTTTGGTCTTTTTTCCATTGATCGATGGAGTAAGAATCCCCGACTCTCTTTGAAGCACAAATGGAACACTTGAAGGAATAAGCTTCAAAAGAGAAATGTATTAGAGCCTCATTGTTAGAGGTTTAGCTTTTCTCTTTAACATTACGTTCAAATAATCAAACAATCAAATATAAGGGAGGAGCTTATAGTACTCTTAGATGTAAAGTTTGAATTTTTACAATCTTTGCAGAAAAGATTTTGTTTTGATAAACTTGTCATTATACAGTATTAATTAAAAGTGATGACATTAAGCTGGCTTTCGAGTTTTGTTTTTTGCGCTTAAATTCGAGTCCTTCAGACTCTTTGGCCAGTGGCCGGTGGATTGGAGGACCTACAGAACTGTAGGGAATTTTCATCCAAGAAAAAATATCAATAACTAAACGAAACAAATAGTATTAACTCAAAAATCAATCAATACATAAAACCTGCACCTCTCAAACATACACTGAACTAGTGTTCGTTGTCAGGGATTACGGTAACCTCGTAATGAGTAGAACTGCTCTTTTGACAAGAGTTCGGTTGGAGAAAAAAATAAAAATAATAAAAAAAAAGGGAATGAGGAAAAATCGGGCGAAACTAAACGAATTTCAGCGATTTAACATGCCTTGACTCGAGCACATTTACTTAGAACTGAAATAAATCAAGTGCACATTATTGTTTACTTTTAATGGAAACGTCAAAAGTAACGGAAAAGCTAGCCCCCCCAAAATTAAGGAGTTATAGGGAATTTTAAAGCTAATGAATATGACACGTAAAGACTGATCAAGATTCTGAACAAACATGGTGTTATTTCGGGTGAGATCACATAGCCTTATTCCCCTCGCGCTTAGTAATTTGCGATTAGTCTCGCATAATTTGCTCAGAGCAATTCAGTTTCTCAGTGCAGCCAAACGTAGACGCGAATCTGTACTTGGAAGAACAGTCGATGTAGTGGTATCACAAGATTGAAAAGCAGGTAGGTTTGTGGTATAGATTTTATCATATTATTATTAGATTATTCAAAAGTCAGTAACAGATACTCTTAGAAATCGTGGTCAATGGATGGCGACTTTCTACAAGAACGGCAAAAAAAATCAATGTGATGCGATCTCAGTTACGCAACAGCCAACAATAATTACACTTGGACTGGAATTAGATAATGGTTGCTAAGACGATTTCTGTTCGTTTTCCGTTGCAATATAAATATGAATATCTAGGCACAGACTTCCATCAGAAAACATTGACTTTGAAAAGTACAATTTTCACTGTCAGATGCTGATATCTTCAATCAAATTTCAAGTCATCCTGACGGTTGATTTAAGAAAAGGAGCAAGTGAAACTTTCGTGCGCAGAAGTTTCTGAAACAAGAAAAAATGCTGGTATTGTGCAACAAGAGAACAGCCTTGAGGATTTGGTTAAACAAAAACAAAAAAAAAAGGAAGGATAGAAAAACTAAATTTACCTGTGCATATTTTTGCGCCCAGAGCAATTAAAATGAAATAAAATTTCTCCATGGCATCTTGAAAGTCAGATCCGTTCTTCGCAAATGATCTTTAACTGAACGCGGTGCGACAGCAACTGCTCTCTACTAATTATTAATTAAGTCATTATTCGTGTATTTCTATAAATTAAAACTAACATGGTGCAAAATATTTACATTGGAAGGATTGATTAACCACGAGAGGTTGGCTACAAAAGAGGAAGGCCTTTCAACAAAAACTTCTAATAAGCATTTCAAATGGTGTAAAAAAATGATAAAGTGAGTATGTATATAATATTTGGATAGCATTAGATTTTAAGAAAAGAAGACGAAGGCGGCGATAAAAAAAACTTTAGTTCATTTTTCAATTTTAAAAGAAAATTAATTTTCGAGGAATTGATTAACTGAAAGCTGAAATTTGCTTCAGCCCGGAAGGTGTATCGATTTGTACAAGAAAACAAAGAGAAACTTTTCGTGTCGATCTGTCAATGCGCTCCAAGTTCTTCATAACATTCTATTCAACAATTGTATTGTGGTCATAACAGAACTGTCACAAAGGATTAGATCTTTTTCTCAGGTCAGTTATTAAAGCTTCTTTGCTTTTCAATCAAGAATGCTTTGAGTACAAAATCAAGTAGAGGCTGCACACGAGGCTTGTCCCGATCTCTGTGATAAAAAGCGACTCAGAGCCGATAGCAAATGGTAGATAACACTTACTTAAAAAGCAGACATTAATACTATTTTTCTCAATTGCCTGTAAAAATTCGATCAGGGTTAAATTCAGTTCATAGCTCCAAGATGACCACAAGGTTCAATAAGGATCAATAAAGGTTCAATCAGGATCAATAAAGATTTTGGCTTAAGAAGATGGTCTCAATGGGGTCAACCGTTAGCCGTTGAACGGCTGAAAAACATTAACCGTTCGGTGTAAAAATTGTCAAATTTTAACCGGCAGTCGTAAAAAAATTAACGGTAAAAATGTTTTCCTTTAATCAGAAAGGAAAGATGTTAACCTTTAGCCGTAAAATGGCCAAATTTTTTGCCGTTAGCCATCAAAGCCATCACCCCATTGAGACCCTCTAAGAACACTCAATAAAATGATTTAAGGGACTTGTTGGTCTTGTATATGGCCCGACCGGTATGCAAATAAAAAACACGCCTAGCGTGCTTTATTCTAAGTTCCCTTTATTTTTATTTGTTGTCGTCTTCTAGAACAATCGTGGCTCAACTTTAAAGATGAGGCCTTTTTGAAATAGTTTTGATTCTTTCTACTGTGGAGAACAATATCATTGAAATAAACTTTACAATAAAGATTTCGATAATAAATGCTTTTTCGATCGATACACTTGGTTTGGCTTATGCTCAGCATTTTTACTTTCGTTCAGATATGAATCGTGTCAAAATGTTGGATTACTTCTGAAATCAATAATCTATCATTATCGTTTAAAATAAAGACGTTTGCAAGGGGAATTTTCAGTGACATAAGTTTGGGCTTTAGTCAGTTTGAACTAGGGGGTTCACAAGCCGAAGGAATGGAGTACATTTTTTTGTCTTTCCTAAAGTATTTAAAAGCTTGATGCCACTGCACAACATTCCCTTTACCAGCGTCGCACTTTTTTAGATTCTGAGAGATTTCTTGTCTAGTTAGAACTCGATCCCACACATCGAAGCCTGTGATCCTCATCCTCGTGTCACCAACCGCTAGTGATCCCCCTCCTTGGAGTTCACCTCTTTGTCGGTTGATCGCTGATAAAATGTTCTTTCCGTCGAAATAATATTGGATTACTCCTGTAAAACCAGACCAAGTCACACAAAATTGATGCCAGTGCAAGTCCTCCAACTGACTTAATTTCAATCTGCATTTAAAAAATACGTGAAAATTAGTGAAACATGTTTTTCGGTGTTCTACAGAAGCTTCATTCTTAAATTAGAGTCAATGCACTGAATCGTAAACGAGATACTCTAGTCCTAAAGTCAAAATCTTGAGAAAAATCTGGAAAACATCGTACAATTGAGTTTTCTTTTGCCACACGCATGCGAAAATAATGGATATCAACTTTCATTAATGTATGTTTAGTTATTCTTTACCGTTGACGATCTCCTGGTTTCTTTCTATCTGGACTGATTTCCATCCTGAAAAGAATCCCTCCTTCACCAAGCGGCTGAATAAATGATAATATTGAGCTCCGACTCCCTCCATAAAATTTATGGAAGTAGCCTGGTCGTCTCACAAAGTTTTTGTCAAGCTTCATCCAGTGGCAAATTGTAACTTCTGGTAGGAATGGCAGGTCGTCAAACACAAGCGTGCCTTTAACGTCAAACGTGGCTGCGTAATTTTCATTAAAAGAGCACTGTTAGTAAATTATCATTAGATTTTCGCTAAATGAAATTTCGGTCTATCAACTCAATGGAACAAAAAAAAGGGGATTGCTTCAGGAGATTTTGAACGCAGATAAAAACAGAGAGGTGCTTTTCTCTGCAACCTAGGAGGTCTCGAATTCTGCCTTATCTAGTTGTATTATTGAGCGTGTTTCAGTCACAAAGATCCCAACATCGGGTGCAGTAAAGTCCTTCATTCTTAAAACCTCTTTGTGAACCACTATGAGTGTAGGAGGTCAGCTTCCTCCAATTTTAATCTCGATATCTTGAACCAAAAGGAAAAAGCTTATCCTATATTAAAAAAAAAAAAAGAGAACGAAGAAAGTATCTGACTCAATACGTATCTTATGGATGAGTTACCAATCCCTGAATTAAAAAGAGGATGTCATGTTTTATGACAGCATACGCTTTTAATGGAAAATAATCAGTTACTTACGAACGCATTTCTTGTCTTTCGTTAGCATTTTGTTGTCTGGACATGCGGGTATGCATTTATTTCTCTCCACGTCCAGAGCAGTTCTACAAGCTTTACACCCATTAGGAAATTGGGCGCTATCAGGTAACTCGCAACCTACAACCACATGAGGGAGCTTTGTCATTTGTTAAGATATCCAACAAGTGTTACAACATGTAAACTCTCTACTAACAGATCATTATTCAGTTCAGGGAATGTGGGTGGTAACCACTTGCTTGAAGTATAATAATGGCACTTAACGTAGCAAAATCGGATTGTGGACTCAATTGCAAAAGCAAGTCTCCTTGTGCAGGTATCGAGGACATTTTGGGTTCTTATTATATTCTTATTGACTGATTGTGAGGGCTGGACGGGAAAAAATTTGGCTCGAAGTCATGATGTTCGGACTTAGCGCAGTGAAGTTCTTGCATCAAGATCGAGAGTCAAAATTTAATCCGTCTAGCCCGATCAAACTCAGTTAATAAGCTTTTTACCATATGACCAATGACTTTTGAAAATTTTGAAAATTTTTTTCAACCCTCAGGACGTGATAGACGGGTGCACACGAGACAAAAACCAAAGAGATTACTACAACAAAAACCTTTCTTTTATCCTGCTCACGCCATTTCGTCCGATTCCTACACAGGTCGGCTTCTACAGCATCGCACACGCGGGGCTAGATGGGTCATATGATGATCACTATACAGAAGTACTTAGTGTAGCAGCGTGCTGCAAGCACGTTTCTTTTACCTTCTTTCTTTCGTTTCAAGTCTAACGGTACGAACACTGATTAGCACGCAGACCTCGCAATAAACTATTTACTAGCTTGAATGCATGTATTTTTTTGTACAGTTTCTCACGTCAGGCAAATTGTAATCTAATCCAGAATTAATGAAAATTGATAAACCGTGTTTGAATTCGTATATCTAAAAGTATATCGACAGATAAACTGAATCTCAGTACGATAGAGAGGAAAAAATAACTGGAACAATAGAGAATATTTCCAAGCAGATCTAAAACAACTTTCCACGTTTGATTATAGGTCTCACCAGCCAAGGGATCGCAATCCTTATGACACCTCTGAACGCAAAGGTTTGTCTCCAAATCTTTGACTGTTTCTCCTTTACATTCTGCTTTCGTCAAATGGCGAGATACGATGTGAACATCCATCACCTTGGCAGGATTCTGGTCATTGCCAAACGCGTAGAAACGAGCATTTAGGTGATCCCTGCTGTCAATAAAATTCAGATAGATATCCCCACTCTCAGATGTCCCTAGACTCTTTCCATATTCAATGAGGGTGCTCTCCTCTGATTCCGTGATGCAAACAAAGTACGACTGATAAAGGGAGGCATATCCAAGTGCTCGAGCGTTGGCGTTCGTGGTTGGTTTCTTTAAAAATGTACCCTAAGAAATAAAGACACCGCTGACCAGATAATTGAAGAAACGAGGCGATTTACGGACCAAAATTGGTCAAATTCTAATAAGTTACATATTTCGGAAAGATTGATAAAATTTAAGGCGTTTTATGATTAAGGAGACAACGAGGACCGCTTTTTCGAACTGATTTAAAATGTGCAAGAACTCATCATCTAGGCCCAATTCTGGTTTTTTCCTACAATCAGATATGTGTTTTAATATTCTAGACTCAGCCAAAACTACTTACTTCCTTTAATCAAAGGGAGCATAGTACTTTGGCCGCTTGCAACCAAGTTGAAAGCACGGATGCAGCATTATTGCCATGATTTTTTCACATAGATTAACATTTCAAGAGTTACATTTGCGAGCGCTATTGTTTTCTTAAACTTTTGAAACAGTACTAATTTCAAAGATTGTGATTCGATCCAAACCGATATAACGTAAGTTTTATATAACGTTTGTGTAAAAACAAAGTCAACGGACGCAAGAAACAAACTGACGATGGCATGAGTCATGCCGAAACACGCCTTTGAAATTATTTCCGTAAGTTTGAAATTTATTTTGATGCTATTTAAACAACAAAGTTGCGGTAGTATTCTACATAATTATGTTTGTATTAACGTATTAAGGGCTAATACTGCATTTTTGTTGCTAGTTTTACCTTATAAATATACACCCCTTCAGGAGAAATTTCCACCAAATAACGCGACTCTGGTTCCTTGGGCAGAGCTGCAAATACAACAAATAATGTTCCTGCTGTTGATGCAGTAAAGTGCAAGCATTTACCCTCGGTGTCCGTGGGGTCAAATCGGAGTGCATTTGACCATTTCTCTTGACATAGTTGGGTTGCCCTTGAAGGCTGCCTTGATGTAGATCGTTTGTCCGAACTTGTAGATGATATGTACACACGGGCTAACTGAGTTCCAACCATGTCTTCTGCTAAAGTGGGAAAGAACCTTTTCGATACCTTAAAATCGCTGGGGTCCAGAACAAGGCTGTTATCGACTTCATTAAACGTTAGCACAAGACCAAAAATAGAAATTTTTCTCAGAGAAACATTGTTGGTGTTCCTGTTACCGTATGCACCGTACAGATGAAAGGAACCATCATTATCACTTGTATACCACTTCTTTTCATAGAATTTTACAAGGCGGGTCATATTATGACCAATGTTGAAAGTTGAACGTTGAGCATTGGGTAGATCATCTACCATGTCAAAGGAAACCTTCAAAACTGTGCTGTCTTTAATAATATCCGCCCAACTTAGAGGCTCACGGGTAGTTAAAAAAGGACTCTGGTGATTATCCTTGAATGTTTGGTCGCTATGTGGTGTACAGGCATTCAACTCGATGTCGGAGATAGACATTGCACCCTTAAATAAAAGAAGATCAGATTCATTTCAACGAAAAGTGATACCTATATAGTTTGCTATCCAACAGTCATTCCTATCGTTCCTGTTCTTGTAACCTGGTCAAAATTTCAAGATCTTATCAGACTTGAATCAATCAGTTTCCAATTAGGACGTTTATCATTACGCCAAATAGATACCCATTTAAGAATAAGAAGAATATACCATCGATAGCCTCTATTTGGCGCGAAAATATGCATCGATATTTGTCCGCGGACGTTCTCTGTTCCGAGATGCGAACAGCTATCCGAGAGCGAAGCTTTGAGTTTGGAGGAACAGATATTCTAGCATATTTTTACGCCAAAAAGAGGCTTTATTTCGTTTATTATCTTTCAGATATTTTGCAACGCGTGGATGAAACTTTTTACTGCCTGTGGTACGTTTACTTTTCAGTGCTCTGTGATATAACTTCATGAACAAACAAACATCTTCCTTTTCTGCAACAATAACTAGACGCTCTCTTATCTTGAATTGACTCTAAAATGAACGTTTTTATCGTAATAGACGTATGGTTTTAAAATGTGGTAATATCACTTGGGGTATATCCTCGGATACTCCCCGGTTTTAGTTGGGGCATATTTGATCGCGTGATGAGTTTAGACCAGTCTCGCGCGAGCAAAATTATTGGATGAATTATAGACCAAATTATAATACCTCTTCCATGTATATCTCAATTGCCCTTTTCAAGCTCAACCTTCGTCTTTGTACAGCATTTTCCACTGCTTGGCGACTGTCAAATTCACAATAATATCGCCTCGTTCCATGATCATCTTCTACTTCGTAATATTTTATGGTTTTGCCTCCTTTCTCTTCCGTCTGTAAGTGCGCAGCATTTCCTTCACAACCCCAATCTGCCGAATCATCTTGGAATAAATCATTAGCCCTGAAATCGAGGAGGTCAGTAATAGATCCTATTTGGAAACGGAAGGCCTTCGGATAGTCTGGAATTGTCTTGAGCCATTCTTTGAATTCTGTTTTAAAAGTTGGCGAGTACACGTCCGATAAAATGGACGCAATATGCTGGCTGCCTCCTTGGGCCACCACTGAGGTTGATGTGGTCTTTGTCTGTTTCCTGCTGCTCTCACCTGTCTCGAAAGAAGCACCGGCACCAACACTTGCAAACAAATTCTTAAACTCCATTTCCATTTGAATTTCAAATTCCTTTCTGCTCTTAGCCTCTTCAGCATCCATCGTTTTGCGTATCTCCAACTGGCCGCCAAACTTTGCAGATTTGACAAAATGTGTTCCCCAGCGTTGAATAAAGTTTTCTAGAAAACCAAAGATACGTTAATGTAATTGATGCAGATTTGAAACTCAGTTTTCAAAAAGAAGCTGAAGCGGAGAGCTCCAAGACTACCTCCAAGGGCATAAATAGAGAAAAACAACCTAATTGAAAACTTATTATTTTCTGGACCTTCGGCGTAAAAAATATTGCCTAATAACATGTTGATCAAAGTCAGGTTACACATTTTTTGAAGATGAGCTTAGGATCGACATCTCCTCTACGTGTCAAGGTATGATACTTAACGATATTTAAGAGGTCCTCCTGCCGAGAAGTAGGAAGTTGGTAAGTTCATGAATTCTCGTAGAAATGACATGCTAAGATCTTGTGGCTTAACCTCATCCAGAAATATTTCATATCTGCGAAGAAAAATTAAATTACGTGTTTGTTATACACAAATATCCCGACATTACCCAAGTTGAAGGAGTTGGTTGAGTTGGAAATGCAAAACAATCATTACATCATAATAAAAGGAAGTACCATTATGATTCCCATCACCCATAGCGTTACCTACCGTGACACGAATATCATCATCACCTTCGTTCCCATGGCTAAGTTAAGTTCCCGCTCCCTAACGTTGTCTTCAACTGACAATTACCTGTCAACATCAACGTCCATCATTGCCAAGTACTTTTGGCGAGCGGATGCTGTGGACTCTCCCCAGGCTTCTTTTACTCCTGCAGAGAAACCGTAGTACGAGCCAGATACGCCTGCCTGTTGTTGAATGTGCTTCCGATATTCCTCGCGACTTTCAAACGTCATTAACGAGGCGGACGTGTCATAGATACCGTGAACGTTCATGGTATCAGGAACATCCAGGCCATCGTACCTAAAATAGAAGTGAAATTGAACCTGAGCACGATGACTCAATTAATACCTATTCAATTCATTTCTCGATACGGATGAAATATAATTTCGATGGATCGGAAAAATTGCGGCAAAGGTGATGTGAAATGTAGGAAGTAATAGCTGCAGTATGTAATGTCTCAAACAATCAACTGCCAGCGATCTCGAGAGAAATAAGGAGAAACACTTTCATCAATCCGGTGATGCTTTGTCCAAAAGATATGAAATAGTGAAAGATAATATTAATCACTGAATGACTCAGCCATACTCGTCGATCCTCCGAGGCAGGCTGGGCTTAACTAGGTCCTTAGTGAAAAACTTTTAGCAACCGGCTAGCGGTAGGAATAAAAATAAACGGTGCGATTCTGATCATACGCATCTGTAAAGAATTGTGACAATTCTTTAATAATGAAATTTCTGGCATTTTTTTAAACCACGGTGCTCTGTGTTTCAAACATTTAGAAAACTTACGTGGCTTTGTTTGCGCAGTTTCTTTGAACGATGCTGATTTTTCTGGATTCTGGGCTGTATTTTCCTCTCCCGTCAAAACCAACTCCCATAAACGCTGCACCATCGATCATGTTCTGTCCGAGTCAGCATTACGAATCGTAAATCGTTAAAAATTTACTTCAAGAATGAAACAGTCTTAATTACGGTGAGAACTGAACTTATACAAATAGTACAATACAATACAATTTCTCTTCGAGTGTTTAACTTGATAGCTCACGAGTGAGATATCGCGTTGAACACTCGAAGAGAAATTCCATATCTACTCCATGTCTTATTGGGTTATTCTATAAACATAAAAGCCCTTCACTGACAAGAAAAGTCAACTCAATGAATGAAAAAAGTTGTAAAGTGCGTTGGCGATAAGGCTTCAGATGAAAAATGCGTTGAATCATTACGAAAACAAACAATGTGCGAAATTTCAATTCACAAAATTCTCAGTTATGAAAGTTTTCCTCCCCGACAGAAGAAATCTTTTCAGGTACACGGCCAAATTCGGCTGGGGGTATATCACCCAGTTGTCTCTTTCGTCCTCAGCCGCGAGAAATGCAACTACCAAATTAAAGCCACTAAGTACGTAAGTGACGATTTTTCTTTTCGTCTTTTGGTTTTCTTCCCTCTCTAGGAAGTTTTGAACGTCGCTATCTGTAGGCGATGTGGATTTTTCAGTGTTTTAGCAGCCGCACTCCGAGAAAATTTTAACAAAACAACTTGGATTGAGATTGGTTAAGGCTTTGCATGACGGAGTAGCGCGAAAGACGAGTGACCTGTCCGCAACTGATTGGCTATTTTAAACACACGTGAAATATTGTCGTATTTTTTCACGTGTATTGATACGACTTTTCTTAGGGCTGGAAATCCTTATATAACACTGCAGTTTATAGAAAATTAAACCTTTTACAAAAAAAAAAAAAAATTCTATGGTAGTCAATATAATTTGCTCCTGAGAGGAACGAATCTAAGGGCAGAGTTGGAAGCATATATTTATATTCCTACTTGTTTATAGTCAAATACTGTTCAGGAAGCAGGGTGTTCATTTACCTGACAAATACTCGACTTCCATTTTGCCGAATAACAAGGATCAGTTTCTTTGTACCCAGATCCCCAGCAACCGTTCATTAGTGCCGTTCCAAGGCCCGCAGGAAACACATAAGGAATTTCTCCTCCTTCTTTGGGCGACTCTTCTCCCCCTGAGATACTTGCATCAATGTGATATCCAGGAGGGAGAAACATATCCTCACTTTCCCATCCTTTGTCTGGAGTGATGTCAAGTTTGATCTATCAATGGAAACATAAATCAGTTATTTCTTAAGGTTTTTTTTGTTAATTTCTTATAATCACCAATCAGGACTAACATTGAAAAGCTGTCAAGTTGCTGAGTCAGAAGAAAGGTTAAGAAGTTTAAATTTTCTAGAATTTCTCGTTGAGCAATTGATTGTCCATATGAAAATGGTATATGGTTTATATTGAGTTTATTGCTGTTCTGTTCCAATTTCATGTACGTATTTACGATATTTAGACAGGCTGGCCTAGTTCAGCTTTAAGCTTGTTTGAATGGGGGCCTGTATAAACAATGACAAGGCCAGACCACAACACTGAGAGTTATGTTCCTTGCGAGAAATGTGTGGGTTCGTCCCTTGCTAACCAGTATAACGGAAAATGCAGGAGGCGGGGCCTACAGCTTATCTTCTTTAACCGGGAAGACTTGAAAGTTTAAGACAGCACATTGCCTTCGGTTATTTTAAGAGCCTGAGTGTTGGCTTTAACTCTTCTGCACGGCTGTCCGGCGCTATACAACGTGAGCTAAGCAAGGGCGTTTAAGTTTATTAAATTGATTACCATAAGAGAGGATTCAAGTTAAAAGACACAATGCGGTAATTCAGGCCTTATTCCATTGATATTTCTTCTGCAGCTATGTTCAGACTCGAAGTATTTTTCCTCCTGTATTGTCTTTCTTCGTTGCCTAAATATTTTCGCGGAGAATCCCAAAGTAAACATCGGGTGGCTAGTCCGAGTGGTCGGCATAAGAAAAACAAACTTCTTTATTACTGGAACCTCAGTGGCTATTCCCGAATGGGCTGTCATTCAAAAGTAAAGACACAATTATAGAACTTTTGGGGATTACAATTAAACAAAGAGTTGTGGATTCAGTCCCATGGTGTTGTTTGCTGTTTCCCTGATTTACTTGTGCTAACCTCCTTCTTTAGAAAATCCGCAGCCTTTCGCTGGGCATCATCAATTGTCTGCAGTTGTTTGTCCACAAGTTTTCCAGCCACTTCGATTCCTTTTTCAACCGCGGCTTCCTGAACCTTAGGGTTTACCATCACTGCGGCAGGGACGCGCTTGGAGCCAATCACATCTCGTACCTCAGACACTTCATTTTTGAGATTTGCTGCATCGTTTCTGATATAGTCTTGCACAATAAATAAGGAATATTATTAAAACCTAAAGGAAGAGCAATTTTTGAGGCGGCTCAACTATAATTGTATTCTTGACATTCTTTGGTTCGCTTTCGAAAAATGTTTCATCGAGTTTACCTCTTCATTTCGAATTCACTCTGCGACTAGTAGCAAACTTGTGCCCTGCTCTAAACCAATCTTATACAAAAGTAAAACCCGATCCTTTTGAACTTCTACGTTTTCCTGTTTTCGGTCGTTTGCCTTTTTCATCTTTAATTTGAAAATCAACAAAAATATGACTTTTAAATATGACCATGCAACAGAACAGTGGGGATCAGGTTTGTCAAATCTCCATTTGTCTATGGGAAAGCCAAGTTGTCCGTTCGTTTGACAAGAGTCCCATATGACATTTGCGGTGTCATGTTATGGTCACGTGTGTCATGGTCTCCTGTCTTCATCCACCCTATTCGAATAGGCAAACGGGAAGCTCCAATTGCGGACACTTTTCCAATTCCAATAGGTTGAAGTGTCAGTTATTTTAACAACAATTCAGTCGTTCCTCGCACATTTTTGGTTTTAAAGGTTGTCTCAAAATGATAGCTCGAAGCTTTTTCCCTTGTGGTCGTAAAGTACAAAGAGATGTCAAACCTCACGCGATCTGAATTCGTGCCCCGAGGCTCTATCACTGAGTTACCGAGAATATGTGGGTGAAATAAGACAGATGCTCGCTTTATAGGTGAGAAGCGTACGAATATACACGTTTAAAAAGAATAAGATATTTCCCTATTTTGAACGAACAACCTCAAAATGAACGATCATTCTCAATATATTTACAGATGGAGGATACTTCGGTGTTTGTCATGATTATGACCATTCGTAATGACCATGGTAGTTATATCATCTGTCATATTTCAGTGAGTTTCTTTCTCTATATATACATTGACCAATATAAGTAGCATCAAACTATTCTTGTAAAGGATAATTTTACCTGAAACTTGCTGTGGAGTTTGGTGGCCTGTGGAGAGCCCCGGTTCATCTTCAAAGGTGGAATTTTGGACATGTGGAAGAGCTTCAACTACCACTTTGTACAAAATGATATAAGATAATGTTAAAACAAATTGAAATATAGAAAACAGCAGCCTATAACCGCAACAGCCAGTGAGGTTATTACCTCCATTTCCCAACCATGTGGGATATCGCCGGTGTATAACTAATTGAATAAAAATTTGACCAGCGCTGGAGATCATCAGTCACTGATTCTCTTGCTCCAGAGGAGTAAGCGCTTTCCATGCTAAAATTTGCACTGAGAGTACATTAAACGCTGAGAAGCTGCTCTCCGGAAGTAGACCATCATGAAACGTGAGCATCCTTTACCAAAGATTTTTAAAATACGAAGTCAGTCCAGTGGCCTCGACATCTTACCCATCATAACTCATTTTTCTAATTCAGTGGCTGGCAATTTTTTCTAATCCAGTGGCTGGTATATTTTTATCTAATTCAGTGGCTGACACATCTTTTTCTGTATTTTTTTTCTAGAGGGGTGAGGGGAATTCATAAGAATCATATATTTATTCATTAGTTACTAAATTGAAACATATAATTTTATTTTGATGACCTTACATACTCAGTCTCGAGCTTTGAACTGCGATGTTCTTACAAGTATAAATATCTACTCCAAAGGGAACTTTGATATGAGTAAGAATACTTTTCACTACTTTAAGATGACTTCTCTGTCTTCACCAATCACCTCTGGGCCAATCACGTATTAAGAAGGGCCAGTGAATGAGTTCTGTTTGAACCAAATGATACAAGATGCTTTTATCTTGTTTGGACGTACACTTACCAGAAGGTAGAAGGAATAATAAACAGATACCAAGCATAACTGATTATCCCTTATTTTCCTGGAAAAGTGAAAAGCGCAGTCTTCAAAAAATGATTCTTCATGACACATGCATGGCATGGATCATACTACACATGGAATTAGTGATGATATCGATATCCAAAAGCTAATAGTTCTTACCTTTTTCATCAGCCAGGTCCTTCTACTTCCTTAGCTGTTCATCACTTCGTCAAGAGCAGCACAACACTATAGGTGGCTAATTATGCACAAAATAAACGTAGCCACAAGGTACACCAAACAGACGGCCACTGGTACCTGGACTTCAGTTCAAATGCCGTAACATTACGATAGATACCCTGAGCTTTGCCATGTGACAAACTCAATCTTTCGAATTTATTGTAATCATCCGTAAAAATACTTGTGGTAAATTCCTCGTAGGGCTTAAAGGGGAGAGCAGTACGGGGCAATTACTCTTGACATCAATAGAAAGATCTTCAGAAATAATTTTGTATATGTTTAAATTATTAAGAATATGTAAAAGTACGAAACACTAGATAACTGTGTAAAATCGGTGTTTAAAATCAGCCCGCTTAAAATCGTCATGAATAGGAAATATTTTCACAAAATGAGAAGTCACTTGCCAGTTGGGAAATTCAAATTCATGTTAATTTGGTGAGAGTAAAAGTTGTACTGTTGAACAAATTGGCGAAGAAATATCGCTCCTCAAAACCGTGGGAAGGATTCCTAGTAGTGGCAGAATTTTTTCAGGCCGTTGCAGAGGAAGTTCCAGCGTTACCTTAAAAATTCTGAAAGTTATGGGATTTAACTCAAAGTCGTCTATTAAACAGTACTCCTTGGACAAATATAAAACTAAAAAATTATATTTACTGTTCCCAAGTATGGCCCAAATTGCTGAAAACTTCAGTTGAGGTCGGCAAGTTCATTATTTAGAATCGAAGTATCGTAAACTCTAAAGCAAATTTTTAAAATTGAATTTTCCTCAGCATGTTTATTCTTCTTTGTACGCTCCTAAACGTCTGTCTTTCGAGGCTAACAGTAGACAGACTATCTTAATAAAATCTGAAACAAAACCCCTATCGCCCTCGGGTCTAAAACCTAGGTCTCGTGTTAGTTGTGTTTATTCAACTTTTTTTATTTCATTGGGAAGCTTAAACATGACTCAGGACGTTAAAATTTAACTGGTCTGCAATGTAGGCGTCTTATTAGTGGGAGCTAACGTTATAAGCTCGTGATCCTTTTTTCGACCGGCCATGTTTGACCGGAGAAGGGTGAGAAGATGCCTGTTCGAAGAGGAAAGCAAAACACCCCCTGATCCCTGATTAGTTGCGCGTCACTGCATTTGGAAAATGAGCAAGTAACCAATAAAAGTGAGTTGAATTAAAACCGGAAGCACTGTCTTCCGACAAAAACAAACACACGATGAATGGAAGGGTGAAGCAGTTTTTTTTCCAGCCAGAAAAGAAATAGCTTTGACAAAACCTCCTCCGCGGTCACAAATATGAGCTGAAATTTGCTCCACTGTATATTTTCCAAACGGAAATCCTTGAGTACAGCTGCCGTTTATCTATACGACAACAAACAACTGAACTCGAAGGTTTACGCGCCATATTTCGTTTGATGCAAACCGGCATATTCCGGTGAAACGGTGTGGCTGTTTTTTTTTCATCAACGAAGAAAATTGGCTTCACCAAAACGTTCTCTGCTGACGCAAATACGGGTTGATATTTGCTGCTCTCTATATCCTCCAAATGACAATCTGTGAGGGTAGCTACCGTTAATCCCATCGAAGTTGCTTATTCCATTTGATCATAAACAATACGTTGAAGCGGACAAACGACAACTACGCTCGAAGGTTTCCGTTCCGAGATTCCGTTATAATTTCTTTCATAAGAACCAACACCTGAAATATCAGGCTTTTCCAAAAGCCAGTAGGCAACACGGCAAGTAAATCCTTTCCACAAACCAGTGTAGAAATTGCTTCTTTTTGTTCCGATTTTAATGCGCGAGACATATTAAACTCCGAAAGATACTTAAGAGCTTCCTTGAGGGCGGAATAAAAATTAATATCTTTACAAACAGAGTTCGCCATCGTTCCTTTTCTCCCACTCGGACAAAATGTCAGAATGACGCTCAAATGACATATTAGGCTCGTGATTGACAGCTGGAGCTTAACTGCACCTATCAGGAACTCCATTCGTAGGCCAAATATTTCACCCGGTCGTATCGATTAGAAATTGCACTCAGGACTTTAGAAACCGAGTGATGAGACTGCTTGTCTATGTAACGAATAGAACCCCACATTACCGAAAAGCTTAGGCAAAAAGGGAACTAAAAGGAATTAAAACGAGTAAGCTTCTTCAACCGAATGTCAATATCATAAATTCCTCGTTGGAGTATATCAGTGACTGCACTTACACCGTTTCGCAGGGACCAGTGAATGGGCGCAAACTGTCTGATCAACGTACCTGTAAAAGTTGTCTTTAATCCTCGTTACTGCTTTACAACGTAACATCCTCATGGTATACGAATACTTGAATACATATGAAGCGTGAAGTAACACATTTTTCCATACAAAGGAAAACAAATAACCTCCACCGAAAAGAAAAAACGAAAAAGTTAAATGATTTCGCGCCGTGAAATGCAAATGATCTCAACAAAACGCATAAAGGTCATACACGAAAACGAGTAAGTCGTTAATGGCAGTGGTCAATATTACTGTTAACGGCGTGACTGGGATACTATGAATCTCTGGTAAATATCTATTAAATGATAGCAATCATTGAACGTAAATTTAAGCTTAAAGAAAGATGAAGTGTGAGAAAAACACACTTACTTCGCAGTCACGGCGATTAACCCCCAAAAATAGACAATTTTCTCCAAGTAAGGCCAAATTTCTACTCTCCGAAAAATCTAGTGGTTCTCATATGTTACCAAATTAACGTAGAACAATAGCACAAAAGTATGAAAGATTCACGTTTAAATCTGTGATAAAAATCGAGTTCCAGTAAAAATACTTATTTCTTATGTAGTAATTTCTGTTTAAGAGTGAAATGTCTGACAGTCAGTCGAGACGAAATTAGATTTGGCTGGCTGATGGGTTGGCGTCACATGCGGACCACAGCAACCTGTCATACCTATATTGGTTTTGAATATATTAATAAATTAGTGACATAAAAGCGCGGAAAGGGCTAAGGAGACCAGTAGTACTATTGAAGATACGTTGAAGTCGAAAACGAACCAACTCGTTAATAAAATGGATAATAGTACTTGTAGTAACGAACAAGAAGATGCTGCCAACCGATGTCGGTGGTTTCGCATCAATTGGAAATGGTGCAAAATGGGCAGCTCTGGTCTTGGAATAGATATCCGCTCAAATCCAATGGTGTCGCTTGTGTCTGCTCAGATTATTTGGGGCTTTGTCCCTTGGTGCATATACAATCAAACCGGAGACAGCGAATTCTACGATGTCCGAGTGGAAAACATGGATCACCGCTACCTTTATCTGGATGTACATTGGTACCCAAGATGCCTGGGCTGTAAATATAATAGTTCTGTACTTCTCCAAATACGGCAACATGAAACTGGGAAAACCGGATGAAAAACCTGAATTCAACGACACGACCTACTTCACCATGCTGGTGCCGCTGGCATAGAGATCGGTTTATTCTACTTCGGAGTGGGTATGTTTACACCAGTTATTATTGCAGTTAGTACAATTCCAGCAATAATTCCTCATTCGAATTATTTCAAGAACCGCGATTTTGTAAAAGGCATGTGAGATGGAGCGAAACCCAGAACATATTCAGTGATCGCCGAAGAATATTTTCATTGCTGTCATGTAATCATTCGAAGACTCAATACTCGTTTGCAAAGAAAATCGATTACACCTGAGAGCTATAGAATTAAACGGGTGATCACACAGTTCAAAAACTCAATCATTTTGAATCAATTTCATTCAGTTGTTTACATTGTAGATCGCATCTGCGTGCGCCCCAGAAAGCCATTTCAAAGTGTCAAAACTGTCATTGCATTAGCGAATATGAAGCAAGGTTAGTCGTACACGTTTGAATCTTCGACAACTTTATTTGTACCTTGCGCTTGTTTTTACATTCGTTTTCAAACTTTTTAAACAAGCCTCACTATCTTAAGGATAATAGTGGTATTTCACTGAATTTACAAGCCTTTTATCGTAAACATCTTTTTCCAAATTTCCAAATCATTTGCTCGAGAAGGAAAATAATTTACACTTTTATCACTTTGGTGGCAAAACTGAAAGAAATGAAGTGTCCAAGCGAAAGCACTAAAAGTTTAACAGCGCTATTAAAGGTATTAATTTATTTCTTCCTCTATATATATGACAATCGACCCTGGCACTTCTTCCGTTGTCCCTTCTTCGTCTTGTTTGGTTGCACTTTTGCTTGCCATTTTCTGAGCAGGATTTTCTCGCTTTCTCGTCCTCGCGAGCGAAAGAGGTTTTTTATGCCTCTCCAAGAATTTGAATTTTGTTTCAAAACAGGGAAGAACCTCTGATTTGCTTTGAAAAACGCTTTCGATTGTTTTTGGCTCTTCAAAAGGTGAAAATTGTTTTGAAAACACTCTAAAATGACATTGTAGAAAACATTGTTACACTTTGACGATGGTTGTTAGGTTTACTTAGATGCGAAACAAAATCAACTCTCAATTCCACGCTAAATACTTGACCAATCAGAATGCGAGATTTTATTCAGTTATGCGATTCTATAAAAATCATTGCTTGTCGTTATCAGTTAGGCGCAGTTAAATGGTCCCTGATCGTAACAACATAAATGACATTATTCCCTGAATCCCGTACAACTAAAGTGATTTCTATCAACTTCAAAGTTGTAAAATATTTGATTTACAAGAGTAGCCGTTCATTCATTCGAATGCAGTTCAAAGTCTAACCTAGGACATTTTATCTTTTCAAAAAATATATACCATTAAGTCGGGTCGGTACCGCTCGAAAATAACGAAAATAACAGCTTTTTCCATAATACATATTCAACCTAAGCCCTTTAGAAAATGAAGGAATTTCCCTATGTGGCTGGCTCGTAAAATCACTCTGAGAGTGTAACTGCATAAATAACGCGCAGCTTTTCTGCGGTCTGTAAACAATGCTTTTAATAGTTTATATTCATTTGACACGTTGAGTGGCAGGTTATCACGCGTGACGATATCATAGTAATTTTACTTCCTCATATGGGAAGTTGTACTATAACCCGAGGAAAGTAGTTTTACTTGCTATGAGCGTTACTGAGCATGTGCGAATGAAATAATTGGAATTTCACTCTGAGAACTCTGAGGAAATATCATCATGAAATCGCCTTCTTTATCTTATTTTATATTTTAAAGAAGTAGGAGAGATTTTGATATCCTTCGCATATTTTTTATACCGTATAAAAAAATCAGCGTTCTGATAAGCGAGAAATATTATCGTTCTCACCAGCCGTTCGACCAGTTTCGCTCCATCTAAAACGTCTTTTACAAAAATAATTCGAATGAGGAATTATTGCTCGAATTGTACTAACTAAAATAATAACTGGTGTAAACATACCCAGCGGCAAACAGCATGGTGAAGTAGGTCGCTTCGTTGAATTCAGGTTTTTCATTTGGTTTTCCCAGTTTCATGTTGCAGTATTTGGAGAAGTGCAGAACGATTATAAATACAGCCCAGGCGTCTTGGGTACCAATGTACATCCAGATAAAGGTAGCGGTGATCCATGTCTTCCACTCGGCCATCGTAGAATTCGCTGTCTCCGGTTTGATCATATAAGCACTAAGCGACAATGCCCCAAATAATCTGAGCAGACACAAGCGACACCATTGGATTTAAGCGGATATCTATTCCAAGACCAGAGCTGCCCATTTTGCACCATTTCCAATTGATGCGAAACCACCGACATCGGTTGGCAGCATCTTCTTGTTCGCTACTACAAGTACTATTATCCATTTTATTAACGAGCTGGTTTGTTTTCAACCTCAACGTATCTTCTATAGCACTACCGGTCTCCTTAGCCCTTTCCGCGCTTTTATGTCACTAATTTATTAATATATTCAAAACCAATATAGGTATGACAGGTTGCTGTGGTCCGCATGTCACGCTCACCCATCAGCCAGCCAAATATAATTTCGTCTCGACTGACTGTTAGAAATTGTACTCTTGAACATAAATTACTACGTAAGAAATAAGTATTTCGGCAAAGTTTCCGCACAACCGCATACTTCATTATGCATACAGTCCTTTGTTAGAAGAAAACAATAGCGCAAACAATAGATTACCTTTGGGACTATTTGCTTTGTTTTCAAGAAGTTGAATTTTTTTTTGGGTTTAATCGCTATAACTGCGAAGTAAGTATGTTTTTCTCACACTTCATAGTTTCTTTAAGCTTAACTTTACATTCAAAGGTTGCTATCATTCAATAGATAATCAACAGATTCATAGTATCCCAGTCTCGCCGTAGACAGTAATATTGACCACTGCCATTAACGACTTACTCGTTTCATGTGTGACTGATCATGCGGTTGGTTGAGATCATTTGCATTTCACGGTGCGAAATCAATTAACTTTTTCGTTTATTTCTTTTCGGTGGAGGTTATTTGTTTTCCTTTGTATGAGAAAAATGTGTTACTTCACGCTCGTATTCAAGTATTCGTATACCATGGGACTGTTACGTTGTAAAGCAGCTTTCGAATGAGGATTAAAGACAACGTTTTAACGTTAACAGGTACGTTGATCAGACAGTTTCCGCCCATTCACTGGTCCTTGGGAAACGATGTAGGTGACGCCACTGATATTTTAAATCTCATTCCCTCCCACCATGAATTTATGATATTGACATTCAATTAACAGTCCGAATTGTCCCGATATAGTAGGACAGCCATGACGTCATGAAGCTAATGTTAACAGGGAAAAATGGTGGACCTTTACGCACACAAAGAAAATATGTTGTTTCCAGTTTCTCTTAGCGTCCATCCGGCATTCTCGGGGACGTTTTTTGACCTAACGGTGAGAAGGAGAATGAGCGGCCATTTTGGAAGTGAGAGAGCGCAAACTGTCTAATTATCATTGAGTTTTTTCGGTGTTAAGCGACGAGATAGACGCGATTGTGAGGTCTAATCCTAAGGTTAGTAAAGAGAACACGTTATTTTTAGTATTTGCGCATTTTTTGTTGAGCTGTTTATATTTTTTACTGGTTCTAGTGCTGTTAAAGTTTCAATATGGCAAGGGGCCTTACAAGGGGCCTGTTGAGGCCCTTACAAGTGTACCCAAACCGCTGTTGTTGTAAGGCTTGAGTAATGCATCGTTCCTTCGTTTTTACGACAGTTGTTTTCGATTTTTCTCCCTTAAGTACATGGAAGAGCATACTCGACTGCTTCAGGCACTTTGCCGACTTTGTGGGAAAAATAAAGGGAGAAGAGAGGAAAGAAGACGTCGCTAAGTACGAGGATGAAATTAAACGAATTTGGGAGGTCTCTGTGTTGGTGGATTTACCGAATGTGCACCCCAAATTTTTTGCATGAAATGCAGAGGTAAATGCGGCAGCAAGGACTATCTGGCAGGCAAGTTCAAATCAAAAGAACAATTTCAACGCCAACATAGTGATTTACAGATTATCAGGGTGCACATTGCAATATTTAAATAACTGTTTTGTTGTGTTGAAAAAATTTCTTTATTATTGCCCATGTAGATGTGATCGTACCCTGTACCCTGTGGACCTTAAGAATTTCATTGAGCCGCACGAATCAGTGAGCAGTAGTGGAAACCAATCTAAAGGTGAAGGCCTTGGTACCCAACTTGAAGAAGTCAACAAATCTTTAAAATGCTAGGAAAATGGAGCAATGGCAGCATGAGAGTGGTCAACAATATTTGGGAATCATGACCAACTTACTAAGGTATTTTTTCTAAATACAAAGGGTGCTAAAATTGTATTAATTTACTGCAGCTTGTGGCAGGAACATGTCAAACATGTCTGTCAGGTAAAATAACACATTTTAAAATTTTGCTTGTTGTGTTTTTAGACCCAGGTCCATTATAGATAATCTTCTGTCCAATAGATTTTCAAGATGGAGATGCAGGGCTAGGTGGATGTTGGTAATGGACAGGACATTACACTACAGTCAATAAACACAATTCTGTAGGATTTATTCCTTGCTGGGTTATTATTTCAATTGATTTATGTTTCAGCAGCAGGGTACAACATTCTCATGGTTTGGCATGCAGGATGAGGCCCAGTTATCCAGGAGAGGGATGGCCTAAGTAAAGAAATTGTGGCTTTGTGAGAAACATTACAACACGAAAGGTGGCTTTGTGGTCCTGGGATTGTAGTTATTAATAAATATATGCATTACAGACAATCTGCATTACACATACAGGGTTAACTGCAAAAAGAAAATACTGTTGCCTTGTTTCACGTGGTGACCCCCACCCCTTATCTCTAGGACAAAATGAAATTTCAGATCAATATCAGTACCTGGGCAACTGCTCACCTACCCCTCCCCTAACCCAACATTAACCCTAACTTGTTATTAATTGACTGTTGTTGGGTTAGGGGAGGGGTAGGTGGGCAGTTGCCCAGATACTGATATTGATCCAAAATTTCAATAAGCAATTTATTAGCCTGAAATAATTAACTAACATAGTAAGTAGATCAGGTAAATAACCTGTTTTTTAAAATTGGATTTTTTTGTATTTAGAAGAGTGAAGTGAAGCTTTTTTAGTATATCAAGTTTTCCTCCTCTTTGCTGTAGTGCTATAAAAAAGGCTCATTTTAAAATAGCAGCTGTCATCCATTACAACTTTCTTATTATTTCCTCATTCTGTGAAGTTGCATCGACTCCCCTCCCAATATACCCACAGGTATTTGAGCAGACCATTTGATGAAAAATTACATGCTTCTGTTGATGGCAAGGCTCTTGGCCTGAGTCTGGTTGATGTAACAGAATTAGCCTCTGCCAACCAAGAAATGGCCTTCAAGGAAGTGCTCATAAATGGAAAGCAGAGAGTAGACCTGCCCTTGACTCCTTTAGTGTATGTAACTAAAGATGAAAGGGAGGAAGCATCTCATCTAAAGAACATGAAGAAAGCGGATTTAGACAAAAGGATTGAAAAGCTTGTATCCAAATTATCAGATGAATCAGCGATCATATTTTATAAGGAACAGTTACATAACATCCAAAAGAAGTTGGCATCCACCAAGAAAGAAATCATTATTGCCCCCTGTGAATAGGTTGAGCAGCCAGCAGAACTACTTGATGTACCGAATCAGGAAAATACAAAAACAGATGAATGATTTCCATAAGTTTTGTCTTTTATTTATATTTAACAGTGAACAGTAATGATTATGAAAATACAAAGTCAATTCTTCTTTCTTTAAATAAGAACCATGAATATAATTTTTTTAATTGTAAGACTGTAATCTTTGTATATTTTTAAAACATTCAAAGATCTTTGAAAGTTTAATATTTTTTGCACATTTATGTAAATAAAGAAAGAACACTCAAGTAAATTATTGTAAATCATTATATTACTTGTGAACAATTAGCCATTATCTGGTTTGCAATGATTTGTTTTCTGGAATTCAACAAGAAGGTTGATTGTGCAAGACTACATGTGTACCCTAATATATTTGAATTGCAACATGAAATAACAAAACAGATATAGAAAAGGATGAGTTTATTTGTGTAGGATGGGGGGCAGAAAACTAAACCGCTCTTACTCCTCTGCTAAGTCAAACCATGGTTAGGGGAAGTAGGGGCTTGTAGGTTCTGGTAATTATTTTTCCTGTACTCTGTCCTTATCCTGACTCAGAAAAACTGGTATTGGTTTATCCAACTGCAGGTTCGATTTATGTTTATTTGAAATATTTGTTTCTTTCAGTTAAAGTGACATGCTTGAGAACTAGAGGCATGCTTGAGAACTAGATAGGTGTAGCAAGGCGCATTGACTACTAAACATTGAACACTGAACATTTCAATAATCTGTTCATGTTGTCCTTCAGCAGCATAATTAAAAATATCAAACTGTTCTAATGAGGCCTTAAACTTCTGTTTAAAAAGTAAAATCTAAAATCCAAGCTTTCACTGGTCAACGGTGTCATCACCTGTTTTAATATGTAAGAGTGTGTGATTCCACTAAGTAAGAAACAAAAACGGAAAATACAACTACTTATCAATGCCAGAATTCTTCAAAGCGGTCATTTGATCGAGCTAATTGCTAGCCTTCTTCAAACTCTCCAGACGGACTCTTTCAAGGAACCCCAAAAAGAGTCGCCTTTGTAATCCTTCTTTAATTAACACAAAATCTCTAATATCGCAATCTTTTACCTTCCTGTTCGAATGAAAATAATGGACAAATCAATAGATCACGACCAAATCTCCCTTCGTCCGTCATCAAAAGTCCCCCCCTCAAAAATCTAATCCCCCTTTGACATAATTCCAAACTGAGTTTCGTTCCGGAACGAAATGAATTTCATACCGCGTTTACATTCAAGATAATTTAGGCTGTAAAAACAAGTATTTATGTCCTTTTCTGTCTTTTTCTGTGCTTCTCTCGCTCATAAAGAGGATTCATACAGATATGAGTGTCGTACCGCGTTTACATTATACAGGTACAAAAAGTCGTCCAGAATTAGTGTTACTTTCTGGAATGAAAACATACATATATACGTTTATTGTAACCCCCAACTTGGGCTTTTCGGTTACAATGTCTAACTATAATATTTAAACTACATGTAAGTTAATAAAGATAAGGAATAACAGGTAAGTAATAC